TTTTATGAAATAAAATTATTCCAAATCGTAGTTTACTTATCAATTACTGTTATTTTCAGTGAATCACCACCGTAAAATAAGTGTGCATTCTTATCACTTTGACTAGTCTATGATATAGTCATTCCGCTTCATTAAGTGAACGCACTTTTTAGTAATTGCGCCTTAAGTGTTGATTGACTGAGGAAGGTCAATCACAACTATCGATAAATTTCAATTTATGACTGAAATACAAACTTACGAATATTATATAATATGATGTATGATTGGCAATAGATAAAGAATAAACGAAAATTCAATAAAATAATATGAACCGATAAATCGATAAAAGTGCTCAGTGATGATTGTACAAATGTTCGTTGGCAGAAGCAACAGTTCGAAAGTTTGTTAGACAGTTTCAAATATAACCGCATTTTAAGAACGCTGCTGCTGCTGCTGCTGCTGTCTTAAGGAATACGAACAAAAATTGGAAAGAAATTCACAACAACATGAAGAATCACACACATATTATTGAAGAAAATATAACAGAAAATACGGAACACAAAGATATAAATTCATTGACACACATTACAGATAGCAATAAAATTCAGGCAGGTAGGTATTATGGTTAGGGCATAAATATGTATGTGCATGCTGCTGAGACTTGATATGGATGACTTATGCGCAACAACGCTCTGAGCATGCATTACCGCTGAGTGCTGTGCTCGTGAGCTTCATTCTAAATGTTCTATAATTATGCTAATTCTGCAATAATTCAGCGATCATTGCACATGTCTGCACTGTTATATTATAACCAGAAATGTTCAGCACTATTTGATTAGTATTTGTATCATTAGTGCCATTATGATTGGTAGTCATTTATCATTATTATTGTTATTATTATTATTATCGTTATTATTATTATTATTATTATTAGTATTATTATTATCATTTTATCAGTAAGGACCAGAAAATCGTGCGACCATCACTCTGTTTTTAAAGAGGTTCTGCACTGATGATGGCATCCGAGCGAAATTTCGTGTCGGTCCGAATACGACCAACATAACTTTTCGCCATTCCGAGCGAAATTGTCGGTCGGACGCCATCACTACTCCGCATGTACACGACCCGACCGACTTATCATCAAAATCATATACTTATTATCGTAAGCATCTATAAAGACAGATGAAACTGGATATGCATATGATCGGTTGATATTCTATGAGATTGAAAAACTATCGGATCAATACAAACGGGTATTTATGCATGCATATGCGAATGACCACCAACTTTTCTTACATAGGTTTATGAACTACAAAACGATGGCAAATAAGAAGAATATTGTACAAATGCTTAATGTGAACGAAAGCACTGATGCATGAACGGATAATGGATGATGCATATTGACAGCATAAAAAATTTAAAACCAATCAAATAATAAAACAGAATAAAGTAAAATAAAAACCACTTATATATTTTATTGCAATGTGCATTCAAATTTCTTTCCAAACAACAACATTCAGTCATTTGACATGAATTCAAATGAAAATTTGATGAACGTCGAATTGTCACGAAACAAAAGTTCAGTATTGTACGTAACTGTTCACCAAACTGCATATCGCAGAATTTACCAACCATCGTAAATAAGTAACGATATACTTTTAACTTAGATCACCCGTCAATTCATGACCTGATTTACTAAAATCTCAGAACAAAAACAAAAATATCGATCTGAAGCAATGAATCTGTCATGAAAACACTGATGTGTCCCAAAGTTACAATTCGATCATCCACCAATCACTGTTCAATGATTCATCATTTGATGAAGTTAAAAAAGTGCATCACTAAAAAAAGCTGTTCCATCTGAACGAACAACACTTTGGTATGCACCATCAACTAACGATGTGCTGCTACCAATGCACATTACTACGTTACAATTTCCGTCATTTCATCTATTACAACTATTCGCTAGCAGCACCGCACTGATGGTCTCTTTCTTTTGTTTCTTCAACACAATCATCAGTTTCAGCTTCATTTCAAAGCAACCAGAAATAAAATCAATCCTTTTCAATTTAGATAAAGTAAATCCGTAGAAGATACAAGCCCACGTATTTATTAAAAGATCACTGACTCAAACCAGCCAAACAACAAACAATAATACGCTTTTGGTTATTTTGTACTGAATTAGAACACATGATATTATTCATAATTTATCGAGCAACCTATCACAACAAATAATGTAATGAATCATTACGATAAATAAGTGTCTCGGTTAGAGCAAATCTAAAAACAATTTCTCGACAAAACAGTGATACTATTAACGACAATTACAACAACTGGCTCTCTCTCTGATGCTTTCATCGTTAGTCAATGAAAAAGTGCTTTGATGAGAACAATAATGCTAATTCTAAGTCAAACACAAAATCTATTCTTTTAACTATGATTATGTAAAATCGCATTTTTACACGTACATTAATCCAGATGGTTAGAAATAAACAGTATTTTTACATCAGTAGAAATCAAAACGATAAATTCAATGAATTTGAGTTTGAGTGAATCAAAGACACGAATTTACGACTGCACATTTTATAAAAATTAAACTGTCTCATAGCGACAATGTTTCGTGGAAAAATATGCGCTACAAATTCCTAACTATTCATCATGAAAAAAATTCTGATCTACAAGAATGAGATGTTGGGGAATTATTGAAAAATAAAGAAAAGGTGCGCTGAGGGTATTCGGCAAAAACTGGATGAAAACGTGGAATAATTACGACTGTAACAACAACACTATCAATAACGATTACATACTACAAATTAAAATCACAATAACAATATCAATAAGATACATAATAATGAGTGAAATTTCTATAGAGTAGCTCTCTCTTGCATAGACACAAACACACACAACATACACTGCAATTAAGGTTTCTAGGGATACGGATGGATCATCAATCAATCAATGACGGCCTAGAAGTTCCACTGAATTCAAACTTTAAAATGTTTTCAAAATAAGGTCCATACTAACTAAAAATATACTCAATCAATTGAACTTGTATTGTTACCAATACTGTCGCTTTTTGTTAACTGCATTTCATGCGAAACTTCCTTAAAAGTATCTACCAGAATAACGAAGTGAAAGCGTCAACAAGCAAAGAAAGGCTTTTTGTGCAACACACGACACTGTCAACTAGGGTGGAATAGAACGGGATGGATCGATTGATTTATCGATTGATGATCACTTACAATTATACTCATAAACACAAACATAACCACAAATCAACAAGAGAGGTTTCTTTCTGATCAGATATACAATTTGAATATCATCATACCACATAGACTACGTGATCATTACTACTAACTGTATTATTACTGAATTCATAAACAAATATTTAATATATATCAAAATTGAATAAACTCTTTGAGTAGCAGTTAACTGAACTCAGATATGGAACTGAAGCATATCAAAGATTGACTGTATAAAAGCATCGGTCATGAATATCAGTGTTGTTAAACAGCAAATGAGTGTTAACTATCCTCTTCGAGAACTCCAACAACAAATAGTGAACAACTACTAAATGAGAACTACACGAAAACTAATACAAATAAATGAAATGCACACGAACCAAAACAATGAAATGCGACAAAACGAACAACAATTATCAAAAATTAAATACTTTTTGAAAGAATACGTCATCAAACAATCAGATGACGTCACGATAGCTCAATTAAATTTTTGATATCATTAAAGAACGGATTACATCTCAAGGTCAATAATAGTTAACAAAGACAACTGGACATTTCAATGATCTCTTATACAGAGAGTAATATTTTACATGAGTACAAAGGGTAATATTGAACTGAAAGCATCATCAAATAAATAAACAAGTGGTTACTAGACAGCCGTATCTGTCTTATCCTTATCGAGAAGTGGTGTCTCTTCATTATTGAGCTGAACGTTTGAGCTATGTGGTGACGGTTTTATCACTTTAATCATTATCGCTTCTTCATCTTCCAGTGTGTCGTCGTCCTCTCGTGACGCCAAGTGAGGTCTCGATGAAGATACCTCCCTGAATAATTCTCATTATGTCTTTAATGCAACCGTTTTCCTCTCCGCAAAAAAGGTCAAAACATGTAAATAAAGTAACGAATGAAAATAACGAAAACGATCACTTTTCTGCACTGATTTTTTGAAGCGACGAATGTGATTCAGATGCGATGTGTTTCCACATGCCACTTTTGTTGACTTCTTTCGATATATTGATGTTGTGTGATGGCTCTTGTATTGCTGCTAATGGTATCTTTATAACGTTACCACTTGCCATTGGTATATGCAAATGTGCTTCTGTTTTAACTGCATGAATTGTTCCTTGATTCTCTTCTAGATCAATATCAATTTCCTCCTAAAATTAACATTTCGTTTCATTACTGACCATCCCGGCTATATCTACCTTCTGCACCATGAACGCATGCATTCAGAGTCTGAAATTTTCAGTAAGAAATGCATTTTGTTTACTCTAATGAACCCGATTCGTAACGACTTATGAATTATGGATAACTTTTAAAAATGAACAAAATTCATGAGGTGACACTTTATAGCAAGAAACTATAGCTCTTGCAAATGAGAATACGAGAATCCGGAAGTTTGTGAAAACCTCTGATGAGCAGTTAACTGAAAGCTCAGCAAATAAATCACTACAAAGTCATAAACCAATTCAAAATAATATATAAGAAAATTGATGACATGTGCAAAAATAATACTATAAAAACAAATAGTATTCAATATTATACGCTGACTGATTAGTTATAACATACCCCTTCACTTTCTTTTCTCTTAAGGTCTTCTTTCTTCCTCAAATGGAAATCAGGCATCTTATCATCTAAATACCTCAGATCTCGTTCTGAGAAAAACTTCTCCATTAACTTTCGTACAGCAACCATTACAACCAACTGCAACGAAGCATACACATAAAAACTTTCAGCATAAAAAACGATGCTGACAATAAAGACAACGATAGAATTAGAAAGATATACAAAATGTTGTTGATAATAAAAATAATAATGCGCATTATCATCGACCGTAATAACAATAAGGATAAACAGAAATTTTCACACGACCATGATTGGAAAGGCGATCGAGGTTCGTTTGATAGATTTAATCGTCCACAAAACGGCGAGGCAAGCAAATTGGCAAAACGTAAATTTGTGGATAACGGAAATTGGTACATGACGTATATAGATCGTATCTGGTTGATATCTTAAATTGAGAAACATATTTACTGATATTTATATTGAGTTGTTATCGCTGAATCGCTCATATCTACGACAGGTGCTATGCATTTTGAAATACTGAACAGAAATGATGAAGATTAAAAAATGGCAGTAACAGGACAGTGTGAGATGTGAACAATCATCATTTTACGAAAATCCTAGACAGCTTTAAAGTTTTAACTACAATTTAAGATTGAACTTCAAATCAGCTGTGAGTCAAACTAACGAACCATTTTAATAATTTCAAAGCAAAATAAGAACACTAACTTCATAGGCATAAGAAGCAATAGAATTCGATCAAACAGCTGTATACCACCAAGTGCTGCGATGCCCATATAAAGGAACACGCCATAGAGAACGGGCATTGGTATGTAGCTGAGAACTCGAGTCATTAGAACCGATAAGCCAATGAAAGCGAACGTTATAACACCGGTTAGACGCTGCTCCCTGAGTAACAACATAAATATTGCATATATCCATGTGATATTAACAAATAATGAAATAATATGAAACTATCAACCATACCTCACACCAATAAATTGAGCAACTTCACCAGGAGCACGCGATTCTGATTCAACTCTGAGTGAATTAACATGATTGATCGAAAGAACTGTTGCAGCCACATAAATTGGTAATCCCAATACTCCAACCACAAAGATTAGACACCCTAGCACAAATAAGTCTAGATGATAACCGCAACCCTTCAAATATCAACAATTACGATAATAATAATAATAATAATAATAACAATAATAATATTAATAATAATAACAATAATAGCAGCAATACTATTGATACATATATAGGTCCATGTTAGATAGCATTCTAGAATTTACGTAGAAAAATAAATTCAAGAGTTTATGCAAATATTTGACAGATAAAACAAACGAGAATGAATGACAGCGTGAAGAATATGAACATAATGAATTAACGACTGAATAACATAACATAACGATCTAATAAAAAATTGAATAATGAAGTGACTAACTTTTTTGAGTTTGTTTTCTTTACGATTAACAATGACAGTGGTAATTTGTTGATCCATAAAGATGAGAATGCAAGCCAATAAGGCTGGAATAGATGCAGCTGGTGCAGTCCATAATGGATTACCATTGAATGGCGGTATGAACCAGCCACGACCCTCCCAAGTTGGCTAAAACATTACGAGTGATATAAACGAAATGAATTTCGTGCAAAAGAAGCTGCATACTGCATAGATGCATATGAACAAGCATACCAAAATGCATTCTTTTCAAGATGCATAATAATGAAAAATAATAAAAGCACACTCTGAACGTTGATGGAACATTGAGTTTTGGAGTGTTGATGCCAACATACATGTCCACAAGGGTCATGATAAAGATAGAGATCATTACTGCGAAATCGCTGAATACTTGACGAACGCGTGATGGAAAATAGCAACTGTTACGCATTTTCTGAATAAAACAATTCGTTAGATGAGAAGGAAACATTAATAAGTAATAAATGTCTCGCCTTCTGCTTGAACTCACCTTAAATGTAATTGCCAAAAAGAATGTTCCCAGCATAAGTACAAGTGACATAAGAAGTTTATCGTATAGCACATAACATGATTCACCATCCAATTTTCCAAGTAGAACTCGACACTGCTCGAGACCAACCTCAAAAAACGAAATCAAACCGACGAAACGAGCCATTTTCATTCACTCAACATCCATCATCTATTTAATTGCTCACTTTTCAACGTAAGATGTACGTCCAAAGGCGACTGATTTTGGTAAAATAGGACGAAAATAGGTTAAAGTATCATTCTTCTAAAGTAACTAAACTAATTTCATAATTTAATTATCAACAAAAATCTTACGAACTTGGGAATAGTCCACATACGTATCATTATGGACGATCTGCCAGCCTTTTTTGTGTGCAGCTGTAAGAACTTTGGAAACTGGAGCACCACCACCAATACATTGACACGTGCCATCAACTACCTTGAAAAATACCAACTCTTTATTCTCAAATGTAACTTTCCTATATTACTCTATCCAATAAAATTCAACTTCATCCAATTCTTTCGTTGATTCAACAACAAATCCACTAGTGGAATGAAGTAAAAAGTATATTTATTACGTAATATTGAATACATACCGTCCGACTGTATTCGATGACATCTAGTTGATCCTTGATTTTGGCCAACTTCATGATTGCTTCATAAATAAATATTACGGCGATAAGGGTTGCAAATGACTCTTCGGTAAATCGTGTTATATATGATACCTTCAATTTCAAAGAGCATAAGAATGAATGAAGTGGCAATAATGATAATCAACGGTACGTGATTGGACGAACAGTTTCGTTCAAAATCAAGGAGACTGCTTACACCGATGAATATTTTGGTTTTATGGTTAGCTTTTGCAATCAGATTCGTTCCGCTCAAATGGCATATCCGCATATTTCGCATTCAGCGGTCCTCCTTCCCCAAAACAATTTGATAAGAAAAATAATCCTTACCAGTGAGCTAGCATCAGTGACGACCATAACAAACAAGATGAAGGCTGTCCAAACATGAACCCAAAAACGAAATGAGAGGTAGTCTAAACTTAGTGTTGTACACATATCAAAAACAATTGTTTCAAAGACCAATACTGGTCCTGTTGAGCCAATTATCGTTAACGGTTGACCACTAAACATATGATATATAACACCACAAATCGCACCACCGAATAGATTCTCCATTGCAGCCTGAAAATTCAGTAGGACTGTACTGAATCTAAATGAAACGTTGTAGTTTAAAGAATAACATGACTGCTCCCAAAAGATACATTCGGCTTTTTTTACTTGAATTGCTCGTTTTTTTGGGGATTTTTAAATTGCAAAATTGAATTAATTTCAAACTTTTAAATGAATGAAGTCAAATAATTCTCTTACCATACGCTGATGCGTTGCTTCTTCTAGAAGACCACCAAAGGTCACAATTGGTGCTAACAATGCAAAATACATAAAACAAAATGTTGCAATACATTGCAAATTCAATGCATCTCGAAAATCTGAGAAATACCACGGTATTTTACGTTTTATATCCAATATCAAACCACCACACAAATGGCCAGTTCGTTTCAGTGCTGGATCGTTTCCATGTGGATCTTCATCGAAATCTTCTTTCTAGAAATGCATTCATTCAACAATCAGACTCCACTTAAAAATGCTCGAACCGATCAATTTGGTAGTACACGATGAACTTGAATTTATAGTTAAGACGACATAATGGAGATGCGATGATCAGAACTCAAAATGAACCTTTTTTGGTGGAGGCGATTCAGTGAGTAAAAGTTCCGATCCAACTTGCTTGCGTTTATCTTGGGATGGGATTCTATTTGGCGGTTCAATTCTGATATTCGGATCCCATTCACCTGGTGGTAATACAGTTACCTGAAAAAATTTACAAAACAATTCACTATTTCACAAAACAACCTCATAGTTATTTGCAACTACGAGGTTCTTTCTGGCCCATTCGAAAAAAGAATGGATAAGTTACTTGATCGAGGAATTCATCGACACCATCCAATAAATCGCCGCGATTACGTGCCTTGTATGCGACATCATGGAAAATCTACAATGAAGTGATAAAGAACACAGCCAAAAGCCAAGAACACAGCTACAGTGACACAGCCAAAACAATAACAATTCTCTCATTGTGCTTCTTTTAAAAAGATCACAGACAAGCCAAACCTCAACACAGCGAAAACAGAACAAATTCTGGAAAAAGATATCTCTTACCTCATCAGACATTAGTGTTGCAATTGCACGTCCGATTTCTCGATACTGTGCTGCATGACCGGATGGTCCTAATAAAATGAAAAAAAATCGAGTTGGAACAGGCACCTGAAAATCAATTCCCTTGTCTTACATAATGGTCATGTATGGTCTATCAATGATTATAAGTGATATGACCAACCAACCAAAAGAAACCAAATTTCAGGTCCGAATCTGGAATAAACTTGGAATACAATCTCCGTCCAAACCGATGCAAAAAGTAAAATTGTACAAGTGAAGTGAGAAAACTTACGACTCTATAAAATTCAACGTTCAATAGGTCATACTTAGATGTTAGTCTAAAACATACAAACCGATCTGGTAAATACTTTAGATGTTTAAGAAATGAATTAGTTACTTCAGTAAGATCTCCAAGAATCGCAGCCGTTTTTAATCGCACGAATGCAGTGATATGATGCGATAAAAAGTCTACTTCACCGATCAAGACATTAGAAGCTTCTGCACCTAACGGTAGTTTCTTCATGAAATGTGTATTGCCTTTAATGTCCGCATGCGAGCCTTCACGCGATATATCCTTTGGTACTGAACCAACCTGCAATTATCACTCAATACTCATCCATTATCAGTAGCTATGCTCAGCAAAACTTAATCCGAATGAAAGAAATGAGTATACCGAATGATGATTATCCGAAGATTGATTGTAAAAACTAAGAAAGAAACTATGGCAAACCTTCGGCAACTGCAATGTAGGACTTTTCTGTGACGGAGTTGTGCTAGACGTAGTAGTTGCATGTGATGCTGTTGTTGATGCTAAAACATTACCTGAACTGGTATTCGCATGACCACCGCTTACGGCACTACCTTCTGGTATGGTCTCATCAATTTTACCCAAATTACGACCATGCGAGAATGTTTTACCAATATCTGATATTGAACGAACCGCATTCAGGAAACCTCCTTGTGCGCCACCATTACCATTGCCCACACCTCTTGCCTTAACCAATTAAGTACCTATTAGATGTAATGCAATGTCATTCACACGCTACGGTCCAAACCAGTGCATGAACCTGACAAACATACTTGCTTGAATAATTGTATGATGAATGAATGAAAATTAAAACGTGTAGGATAAAGTGAAGATACTTGAGTAATGCCTTAAAAACACCCTCAATTTTGTTGATCATTAACAGATAAATAAATGTACATCAGCTTTGAATATATCGATCTACTTAATTCAATATGTTGCAAGTAATCTCTTTTTCCTTCTGAATCGATTACTAATACACCTAACCAGTTTCACTTCAACAAGTGGTAATAACTCTACACAGCTATATGCATCGAGCCACACAAATACATAGCTATATACTTTCACACCATGATTACTCACTACAATGAAAGTTTTGTCTAAGAATTGCGTCCTTCGCACTCGCACGCTAAACCTTTCGTGCTACCAATACATACAATCGGATTCATTTCATCTCTACGCCAAACAAACGATTCATAAAACAAAAACTCATTGAAAGTTCAATTCAATTCGGATGTCAAATGACTATAAAGAGCCAGCTTTCTCTCCAAACTCAGTTACCTGCTCATACTGATGCGTATGCCGTCTCGATAGCACCTGTCTTACTTGATCTTTATCTGATTCTTCCAACTGCCCTTCGGCAACAAATTTCTCTAACAACTCTTCTGAAAAAATAACAATCAGAAAGAGAACGAAACAATTCGGAAGGTTGTCCTCAAATCTATAAAAATTCATGATATGTTCAAATCTTTGCGGAGTTCAAACGTGCTTAACTGAAGCATGTGAGAAGAGTTCTAATTTGATTTACTGATTTGGCGACGGTTTCAAATTAAAGAGGAGATATTTCTGATTTATTTTTGGAGTGCCCAACGAGAAAGCAAAAGATAATTGCTCAGAGTTGATGAAGAAAAATGAAAGTGAATGTGTTGGAATTGAGAATGCAATCAATTAATCTCACTTTTTAAAATTGATACCTCAACTGAAACGAATGAAAACTGATAAGCGAACAATCATAAGAATTGAAAGAATGAACCGATTAGTTCAGCATGAGTCGCCGCTTCGGAATCCATATGAACAACACCATTCAGAAGGCACGATCGCAATTGAAAAAGTGAATGTAAAGAAAGCGTTGCAACGTGAGGTTTCGACCATCGGTTACCACCTTCTTCGACGTCCTCCTCGAACTTCACCCAACGTGCTGTTTCACGCCATTCCTCAACTGCACCCGAACGACTTAATTCACCCATTTCAGTGAATAACGCTGGCATTTCGTTCTTTTCTTTCAACAGAAACATCACACGTGTGCCTGGTGCTGAAAATTCATCGTCATTCTTCACAAGAAATTATCATTTAAGTGCTAATCTTATTACTGCTGATCATTAGTGATTGCATTAATAACCACTCTTATTACCAACTAATGTAATACATTTTCAAAAGCAGTACAATGAAATGAAAAGAGCGGTATGTGAATGAAAGTGAAACTGCTGTATAATCAAAAATTAAACTCAATGTTAAGCTATTGTTCTAATTATTAACGTCAGTGTCATCGCAGTGTCCAAGCGAAAAACAAGTTTGTGCTAATTGAAAGCAACAAACGGTTTTTCATTACATACTTTAAATAGATAAGCAGATCGAATCTCATCCCTAAATGATAAAATCCTCTCTGAAAAATTGTATCTTTCCTTGTAGCAAACGAAGCATAAACTAACAGAATTATTTTTGTGCAAATTAAAGCAAATATGATTCTACTGGAGAGATGCGAATTTTAGAAGCAATAAACTGAGCGTTTTTTTTTTGGGATTCAAAAAAAGAATCGTTAACATATTTCAATGATTCTTTTTCATCAAACTTCCACGTTGCGAATCCGCAACTTTGTTGCTTAATTTGTCTCAATCCTAACATTAATTAATGTTGGTGCTAATTGTTATTATTAACGACAGTATTATTCATATTAATTATTGTTTATAATGTCAGCTACTATTTTAATTGATAATGTCACTCATGTAAATATTGTAAATCGACGCAATGATGTCACTCTTGCATTCTTATACAATAATTGATAATGTCACCCGTGCAAATATTAATACCGTGAATCGTTATAATGATCACACTAACGTTAAGGCCCATTGATAATGCTCTAATGTTCTCTCATCTAAATCCGTATATTGTACTTTATTCCCATATAT